AAATCGTGTAGTCTTCGTCTTTTCTTCGTGTGATCATCGGTGATATCTGGCATTTTTAGCCTCAAGAAGACAATACGAAGTAAAACACGAAGATTCCCGATTGTCTTAAGAAGGTTAAACGACTACGTGAAGCCCCCGCAATACCGTCGTGTCGCCATTGTATTTTGGTACGATGTCATCGAGATGGGACCACGATGAGGACGAAGAAGGCAATTTTTAGTGGCTCAAGCGTTGTTTATGTTCATGTTTATCATGGTGGACATATAAACGGCTAGACCATCTTCCTCATCTGTCACTCTTGCACATCTCTACAGAGACATCAAAAGCTTCCATTATTTGCAATTAATTTACAATCATTTTCAGTTTATTTCCTGCAGAATTACATGCTTTGATGATAAGTCAAGCGAGAAAAAGAAGGCAGCAGCAATGCTACTTTAAAGACACCTTAGAAAACATGATGAGACCCACAGGCCCACGTTGGGTGGCATGATAAAGTTTTATTAAATATGATAAATAAGGTCAACAAGGAAAGGCAGCTTTCAATGAACGCAACCCCAACACGACCCAGCAACAAGAACTAAGTAACACAAGAGGACCCCCAGAAAATCGGACAGGGCGCAAGGCAGAGCACGGATAGGCTTATCACTTAAATGATACATAAGACGAAATAATGGTAAACGACAAGGAAATCAAAGAAAACAAATAAATGATTAATTTAAATAAAACTAGGGGGGAAAGGAGAGAAAATACTTACCGTAGACGAGAAAACAACAAGGGACACCGACAAAAGTGTCACCAAAACAGTATAAAATAACAAAGACATACATCTGAGTAACAAAGAAGGGCGCCGCCTTCGACCGGTCAGCAGCATAAGTACTTCTTGGGAGTTTAAACCGGTTAATGGTGCACCAAACCTCACTCTTAGCCCGCCATGTTCCTATAAACGAGACGGTGTAAATAAAATGAATCCCCGCCAAGTAAATTTATAACAGTTGTTATGGTTTCAAAAGGTACAATAAGTAAAACACCTAAATGATCATGTAGATACATATAGAGGAATACCCATATGACCATAACAAAAGTACTCAATATTTTAAAGGAAGACAGAGTAACAAAAAAATCACCTACAAGGGCCAGACGAAGCAAGGCAGAAGATGAACATTAAAGCAATTCAGTCCCAAAGGGCATAAAGAACTGTCCATCATAGAGTATCCCACTTGGTCCGTCAGATGCAATCAAAAGAGGAAAGGACCAACTGTAAAAGTGGTGAACACTAAGCATGCGGTATATCTTAAAAAGTAGGGTCAAAACCTCTTTTGGTTAAACGTTTAATAATTTTAGTAAAGGCAACAGAAAAATTACAATGACCAAAAATCTTGCGAAGTTTGTAAATAACATTTCCATTGAAATCATTTTGAATTACTTCTGAATTTTGAGATTAAATCAAAGTATTTACGTAATTTATAATAGCGGTAGCCCTGTTTGAGAAGCTTGCTAGTAATGAAAATATTTTGCTTGTTAAAATCCTTCACGTTGCTAAAAGCTCTATCGAATCTAATTTACTGATATACATATACCCCGTCAGATGTTGCATGCGGTACGTCTCCATCTAAATGTGGATAGTTTACTATACCATAAGCAAAGTCATCACTTTTATCATAGATTTTTGTTTGAATAGAAGCGTTTTTGATAGTAATATGAAGAGCCAAAATAAAGTTTAAACGTAGTTTAATTAGCTTCCAATACTATCTGCAACTGAAATTTGCCACGGTTGGCCGTGAGTTGTATACCACCCGAAGGTGAAGGTCACTTGACGCCTTCGTAACCACGTACGAAGGCATCGTACTCAAAATACGACGTTGTGTACCTATCTCGTGACCTTCGCGTGATCTGCTGGTAAACGTCTTGGTACAAAATTGCGTGACCTTCTGTAGGAATCGTACTTGTTTCGGCTGTTGAGAGACTGTCGACCAATTTCGGGGCTATCTTCGCACGAAATTAAAAATTCCATATTCGTATGACCATCTGGTGTCAATTTCGGGACAGTGTGACGCCTGCATAAACAGGGACAAAATCAAATACAAAAAAATCCTGTAAATACAAGTGTATTGCTGAAAATATGTACCTAGGTAATTGTTTGGCACCACCAGCCCTTTTAAGCTTTTAAGAGCGCCCTTCTTTTCTGATTGTCGCAGGTCACTATACATTTAGGTTCTCATTGACGCCGTACAATAAACTCCTTTTGGCTAAAAAATCATATCTTTGGCTAATACTCCGTGGTAATTGCATAAAGGTAAATTATCACCACTTCAAAATTAACTCTTCAAGTGCATGGCTGGTGAAGGGTTTTTTGTGCTTTTTGTGCTCTTGCAAGCAGATGGACCAACATTAAACGTAAACTACCTACCTACCTGTAACTAGGTAAATGGAATGTACATTATAGTTTTACAATATACAATATATTTTGTAGTTTACTTTGTTCCATTATTTAATATACATTTATTTGAGTAAATATTGTAACGTGTATATAATATTATTTTCTATTTGGAAACAACATCAGCGTAATTTTGAAAAAGTGTTGTTGGTCGCATTATTAACAATATTATGGCAGATTGCAAGACGCCAATATCTATCGCCATTGATGTCATCCTGCAAGTTTAACATTAAATACATTGTTTCTCTATGATAACGATACTTTATTAATAAGTTTTTTTTTATATTTCTTACAAATTAGGTAGTGAATTAGCTCTTAAAAATTAAAAATAAATATTTTGATAAAATAAAACATTAAACAATACAAATACATTAACGTGAATAAAAGTCTTGTTGTTTTGTAATTTCCCAAAATATCCAATTAATTTGTTTATTAATTCATGCATGCATTCATTCATTCATACATTCATTCATTCATTCATTCATTCATTCATTCATTCATTAACGTTATTTTCTTAAAGGTAATTTGCTTTAAGAGTCAACTCGTAACAATAAATGGACCAGATTTTTAGACGCTTTCACCTACCTGGATGGTCCTAGAATTGCTGAAGGTGTGTAAAGCATGTATTTCTGAAATCAAATATTAACTGACTGATTGTGTTGTTAAACAGGAAAATATCTCATCACTTTTGCATAATTTCTATAAGTGCACACGTTAACTTATATTTATGGAAAGTGCAATTTCCGTTCTTGAAAACTAATGCATTTTCTTAGAAAAGAATTTCTCCTTAAAATTGTTTTACTTGACGTACTTTTTTCATCAAATAGATGAGAAACACTGCAATCATTTTACGTCTGAAACTATTATTAAACCCATGTCTTAAAATGTCTTATTAATCTGTTTTGTTTCATATTTAGTAATTATTAGTAATAAAAAAATTATGTTGTCTTAAAGAATGATGTTTATTATTCTATCTCTGTTTTGAAACATGAAAAACATATGTTCAATTGTCTATATATTACATGTATTTCAGACTATGAAATCCATTTATTAGATCAGTACGTACATAAATGTCAAATCAATGCAAATCAATGTCTTTTCTATACATCATTTTATACTTTTGTCTTTATAAACAATAGCCTTTTGGTCTAAGTCAACAATAAACTGACACTTGAGTTGGTGCACTGCTCTATAATTATACCAATGAGACGTTTTAGACACCAAACTTGATCTTCGACAAATAATAAAGAACACTGAAGCTAACGCTTTAAGATCAGAATCTTCCTGAAACGTAGGTAACGATGGTCATGATATCATGTCCACCATTAATGTTTGCTTTATATTAATTTTATACATGTAGTTAGATGATTTGTCGTGTTGAAATGAATAGACCGCTTTTGCGTAAGTAACATCAGATATTATATAACTTAATTTTGAAACGAATTCCAATGTTGTTCCATTGACCTTTGTTTCCTGATCAAACATGCGGCTTATTGGGTTATAACGATTCCTTGTGCTTAATGGTACAGGCATGTCAAATTTAAGGTTTATGATCACTGTCTTATAAGCACAAAACGCTTTCATTATGTTATCTGCTATCTGTAATGTTTCAGTTTTCTCCTTAAGCCAGGAGTATTTTACTTGATCTAAATCAGTCAGTCCATCTTCAGGTTTAGTAATCATTACTTTTGTTATTCTCATTTATGTCACTACTTCATATTCGATGCATGTTTTCTATGTTTTAGTGATACATCCTTTACATGGGTACAGCTGATTCACAATCAAAGCGCATGTTACAATTCATGGATATTGTCATAACTTCGTCAATGAACTTAATCATGTTTCCTTCATTTTCATTTCACTGTTTCTTCTGTATAAAATAAGGTTTTATATTTATCCGATATAAAGGCAACTGACAATGGACCACAGTAGACATTAATAAGTGTTCATATTGATTTTATGCACGAATTCATATAAAAAATTTTTTACTTAAATCTAAAATCTACATTGCAGTTGAATTGTTGTGGTACTTATACAAATTTCTTTTGACTTTTACGATATTCAATTTTGCTTTATTTAAAAAACGTGTATACATGTAGCTATATTGTGATGCCTGTAATCGAGAAGAACGATGCATTTTAAAACCCATGAAAGTGACCGGCACATTAGCGAAAGTATATTGGACCCTAAAACACACTCCATTTGAATAGTAATAGAATGTGTTGCTTTGGCAACGTTTTATTGTGTCTATTCACTTATACCAATATCTATATGAACTATGTAATCAGTAGGGATGCGAAAAATAAACAAAATAACAAAAGAAAACATAGATACAATTGTATAGTTTACAAACATCAAATACCAGAAAAATACCAGAAAAATGATGTAAGCAGTCGTCTACAGATTACGTTTACACAACCTGATGTCAATCATCTGAATTTTAGTTAGATTGACACCTGCGCTTGACACCTGCTGTTCAAATTAGTTGGAATTAGGCAATATGAAAGGAGTATTCCGCTTGTCTAATCATTCCCACTACATGGTACTTCTGATATTTTAGGGATTTTTGTGATCAGGTTGTGTAAGGTTGTGATATTTGGCTCTGTGTAATTTTCCTTCTTTTGCTGATATTTTGAATTTTGGAGTAGTACATTTGGTAAATACGTTTTTGTCATTACTTTACCTATGGAATGATATCGTTGCTTTTGGAATTTGATCAGTATTAAAAGAGTTATTTTCTGTTAAACTTTGCTAAATTATCGTAAACAAGGTAGATTTGATCGCCATTTTCGATTACTTTCCAGTTGAATAAACACAAAACAAGTGCACACAGTAGACAAATAGACAATAAAATAGCTGGCGGGTATCATATCAATAACTGATAACTGTTAATCGTTTGTGTTTTCATTTTTTGGTTCAATATCTAGAACACCTACGTCTGTGCGAGCTTGATTGTCCCCCTTGTACTTATACTCGTACTTATATATACTTATATATATCATTTACTCTGCGCTATTTTTTATATGTTTTTTTTATTTACTCATTTATAACCAGACACCCTTGTGATCAGAATAATATGTAGTGTAGTGCTATGTTAAAGAAAACAATGCATTATTGGTGATAATTAAACTCGCACTATAATAATAACAAGAGATATATTAAATACATGTGTGCATAATAGGTAACAGAGCCAAATACACCCAACTGACTGAATAAATATTTATTTTTGCCTTAGTTTGTTTATTATTGCGTGCTCTGTACAGATTGTTTTCAGGTAAAATGGAATTTGATAATAATACACCTAGAACAACGTTGGGGGGTCGAAACCAGGCAGCAAAAAGACTACGTTCAGCTCTTAGCTCTGACTCCTCGGACCATAATGAGGGCGACTTATCCTATCTTGACCTAGACTCAGGAAAAGTTCTGCAAGCCTCACAAAAAACATCTGAAAGCAAGGTAACTCTTACGTTATCTGAATATGATGCGTTAATGTCCAAATTGATGTTACTTGAGAAGGGCCTTGACAAACTGAATAAACTTGATAAATTGGACAAAATTGAAAAATCTGTGCAATCTATGAACAATAAAATTATTGACTTTGAACAGAGATTAAAGCATACAGAAAATTCAAGTAAAGAATTTGAAAAATCAGTTAATTTTGTTAGCTCTCAATTTGATGATATGGTGGTTCAGAGAAACACAGATGTTGTGAAATTAAATGAATTAGAACTGTCTGTGAAAACTATTACGCGTGAAAATGATGAAATAAGAGCCGCAATGATCGAAATGAAAGCTGTTAATTCTAGTCTTAAAGAGGAGCTTTTAGATGTTAAGTGTAGAGCAATGAGAGACAATTTGGTTTTTACAAATATCGATTACACTGAGGGTGAAGACTGTGAAAATGTATTGCGCTCCTTTATTCGTGACAAACTTGAAATCAGAGAGGAGATTCAATTTGAACGTGTTCATCGTTCTAGACCACACTCTAGCAAATATGTCAGATTTGACAAGGGAGGTAAACCAATCCCCCGACCCATCATTGCTAAGTTTAGTTTCTTTAAGGACAGGGAGAGAGTTCGTAAATCGGGACGATTTCTTAAGGGCACAAACTTTGGTATACATGAACAATTCCCGGAGGAGATTGAGGATAAACGTCGCCCATTGTACCCGATACTACGACAAGCAAGGAGGGAAAAGAAAAAGGCGGTATTGGTCAAGGACAAGTTATACGTTGAAGGAGAGGAAGTCAAAGCTGATGCCTACCATATTAAAAACAAAGGCCAAGGAAATCAACCAAACACCGACGGACCACATTCACAGGTGTCAGCATAGGCTTGCCATGGTGGCAATTCAAAATCTATTTCATTTTGTAGTTTAAATGTTTGTGGGTTATGCTCAAAAAGCACTATACCAGAATTTCAATCTTATCTTTCATCTTTTGATATAATTTCATGCTGTGAAACACATCTTGATGATCTTGATGTCATAAATTTTGAAAATTACTATTGTATTTATAAAAATCGGAAACAAAAAGTTGCTAGGAAGTCTGGAGGCATTGCGATTTTTGTTAAAAACTTCTTGAGAAAATACTTTACCCAGATTGATACTGAATGTGAATATGTTCAGTGGTTTAAATTATCAAAATGTTTGTTTGAAACAGACGAAGATGTTATTTTTGGCTCTGTTTACATCCCACCAGAAAATACTAAATATTTCAACAAAAATATATATGACTTGTTTTACACAGAGTATGAAAATTTCTGTACCAATTATAAACATATAGTTACATTTGGTGACTTCAATGCTAGAACTGGTAATGTTGATGATATATTGCAAGTTGATGAAAAACTTTTTGATATTATAGATATTGAATATAACAGTATATTTGATGTAGATATTTTAAACGAGTTGAGAAAAAATGATTTTTCTGTAGCACGTGTTTCAATGGATAAAGTTGCTAATCGTTTAGGAAGAGATCTTGTAGATTTTTGTAAATCGAATGAAACAGTGATTTTAAACGGAAGGTCGTTTACAGATAAAAATGTAGGTAGTTTTACTTGTAAAAACTCTTCAATTGTTGATTATGTAATAGCTTCAGCACACGCACTAAAACTATTTAACGGTTTTACTATAGACGAATTTAACGCATTATACTCTGATGTGCACTGTCCAATCAATTTCAATTTATCGCATATTGTTGAAAATAATTTAAGGCAGACTTATTCTTCCAATGAGAAAATTAAAGGTTGGACTCAATCCAAAGCAAATGTATTTCTTGACAATATTAACAGTAATAAAGTTGATGATATGTTAAGAGAAATCGAAAGCTGCGAAGAAATTGATAAAGATTTTATTAACTCTATTTTTCGAAACATTGAAAATACACTCCTTGTATCTGCAAAGAAAACATTTGGTATACAAAAAATGAAAACAAATATTTCAGATGGCTGTAGACAGCCTTGGTTTGATAATGATTGCAGAAATGCTAGAACGTTATATCATAGATGTAAGCGAAAATACCAATGGACAAAAAATGAACGTAACATGTCTGATTTATATAATTCTAGTAAAAATTATAAGTATATTATGAGAAAAAGTATTGTCAATTTTAAAAGGGAGCAGAGAAAGAAAATACGAAACATGAAAAACTCATCGCCTAAAGAATATTGGAATTATGTTAATAGTATAAGTAAGAAAAAACAAATGACTGATGTTGATGTTTCAGCATTTTATGATTTTTATAGACAGCTTAATACAGATACAGTAGATGCAAATGACAACCCAGAAACAGACTATCCAAATGTTAATTTTGATAATGGGCTTAATGATAGCATAACAATCTCTGAGATACAAAGAGCAATAGATAAACTTAAGAATGGCAAGGCGGCTGGTCTGGATCAAGTTACTAACGAATATATTAAGGGAAGCAGTACTTTACTTATACCACTTTATCACAAATTGTTTAACTGTATTCTTAACACTGGTTTTTTGCCAGATTCTTGGTTGACAGGATGTATTGTACCAATCTATAAAAATAAAGGTAGTATTGAAATGCCTGAAAACTATAGACCTATTACATTGCTTAGTTGTATAGGGAAATTATTTACAAGTATACTAAATGAAAGATTGACAAAATATTTAGAAAGTTATAATTTATTAAATTCAAACCAAGCTGGATTTAGGAAGCATCATTCAACTGTTGATAATATTTTTATTCTCCACATGTTAACAGATTACCTTAAACATAAGAAAACAAAACTTTTTTGTGCTTTTATTGACTTTCAAAAAGCCTTTGACTCTGTATGGAGAGCAGGCGTTTGGTGTAAACTTGTCAAATACAATATTTCTGGAAGTTTTTTAAATGTAATAAAAAATATGTACAGTGAAATCAAGTCATGTGTATCTGTAAATGGCAAATTTTCAAATTTTTTTGGTTGTTATAGGGGCTTAAGACAAGGAGAAAATTTGTCACCGGTAATTTTTTCTCTGTACCTAAATGACTTAGAAAATTACATGTTATGTAATAACGATGTTTCAGTTATACTTGAAGATAATAACATTGAAATATTTTTGAAACTTGTTGTTTTGTTATATGCTGACGATACCATTCTTTTTGCTAAAACAGAACAAGATCTTATATCTGTGTTGAACACCTTTTCTAACTATTGTCATATCTGGAAATTAAATATAAACTTTGATAAAACAAAAGTAATGGTATTTGGTGATAAAAGAAATAGAAACAGGAATATTACGGTAGATAATCAAGTTTTAGAGATCGTAGACACGTTTAAATATCTTGGTGTAGTTTTTTCTAAGAACAGACAATTTGCGGTTGCAAAGAAACATATTGTTGATCAAGCAAGACGGGCAATGTTTGGTTTATATAAGAAAATAAGAAATCTAGATTTACCTATTGATTGTCAGTTAAAGTTATTCGATCATACAATTGTACCAATTTTAACTTATGGGTGTGAAGTGTGGGGTTATGGTGACTTGTCGCTTATAGAAAAAGTGCATACAGATTTCCTTAAATATGTATTACGTGTTAAGAAAAGTACACCGCATGTTATGGTTTATGGCGAACTTGGGCGATTTCCATTATCAATTATTATTAAGAAACGAATTGCTGGTTATTGGTATGATTTAGTTAACAGTAATTCACTACAAAAATTATCGTCAAATATTTATAAGCTTGTATATGAAGATTTTGTAAGAAATGGTAAGGAGTACAAATGGCTATTGAATGTTAAGAGTATTTTTGACGAAACAGGTATGAGTTATATTTGGTTAAATCAGAAGTTTAGTGGTTCTAAATGCTTATTGTTAAAAACCATTGATATATCAATGTGTAACCAATATGTACAAAAATGGCGTAGTGATGTCGACTCAATGCCAAAATGTTTAAATTATAGAATGTACAAAACTGATCATTGCTTTGAACCGTACCTTTGTTTACTGTCAGACAAATATTTAAAAACATTTGTTAATTTTCGATTGTGTAACAATCTCCTCCCTATAGAAAGAGGTCGGTGGTTAGGTATTGTTAGAAATGAAAGAAAATGTAGTCTTTGTAACTCAAATGATATAGGTGATGAATTCCATTACATTTTTTCATGTAGTTATTTTGAAAATAAACGAAAACGACTTTTACCACAAATTAATCAACAAAACAAAAATATGTTTACGTTTAGAAAATTAATGAGTGAAACAGATCCACAAAAATTAAGCAACTTAGTTAAATATGTTTATGTTATACTTGAATACTTTAAGAACCCACCTGGCTAGTCACATTGTTTTTGTTTTTTTGTTGTTTTTTTTTAAATCTATAAATATTTTTCTATTTTGCAAAATATAGCATGTACACAATGACATAGTTACATTGTATGTTATGAAATATTGTAGTTATAAATACCTTTTTAAAACTACTGTAGTTCATTTAATTTGTATACACAACCTGATTACACATTTATTAATTTTGTTTATATATTATTGTACACCTCTTATCATATGTAAATATGCTGAGTGTATCAATAAAACTTGAAACTTGAAAACTTGATATATTTTTTGAAAATAAAACAAAACTATTCGTTTACTAGTAAAATAGCATCAGTAGATACAAGCATTTATAAACTCAATAAAGCAACACTCATGCAGGGTATGGTTATGTGCTAAATGCAAATATATCATATTCAATAACTTACCGAACAGAGCAAGGACAGTCACATAATGTTGTAGGTTTATATCTGTAGGCATTGTTCTACTACTCTGACAGAAATGTTGTCGAAGATACAGCTGTTGCCGTCATGAGCTTGAATCGAGTCTTGTCTCTAGTAAATATCATCCCATATTGAATCAATAATTGTTCACTTCTTTTAAAATGTCGTTTACTTCAACACATTTGCTTTGAAATAAACTATCTGCTTTGCAAAACTGTGCAATGTTTATTTATTTTAACAATTCATTCCTATGATACACATTGACACAACATTTTTCCGTTGTATATTAATTAATGATTATTTTTTAAACCATGTTCAACACATAATCAGTGCACATTTACTTAAGAAATAAAGACCTTAAATACTTTAATCAAATAACAATATGTTTTATGAGATTCTAAGATAATTCTGTTGATCGACAAATAACCCGCATTTATCCCTCTGAATCAATTGCATATAAACTGTCGTTGTATGACGTTCTAATCATCTAGCAGACCAGGAACCACCTCGATATTTTTCTCTCTTTTTTTTCAAAAGACGTCAGTCGTTTAGTTCTCACATTTCATTCCCTTCTGATAGGCTGATATACTTATTGCTAGTATGACTCTTTAAATCTTGATATTGATAATTCGCCTGTTTTCCCCAGTTTCTTTTATGCTGGAAAGAAAAGAAAATACAAGTGATAAATGTATGCGTTTGTTTCACTTTTATTGTATTTTCTGATTCGCAGATCAGGGGGGCCGGAAACACCCCGCGCACAAACATTTACAACACCAATTTTTGGGCGAGGGGGCGCCCCTTGGCGGGCGGGGCGGCGGCAAAAAAAACCCCCCAACACATTCACCCGCCCCCCAATGTTTTTTTTTTCCCCCCCCCTGGGGAGGCGGGGGGGGGGGGCGGGCAAAAAACCCCACCCCCCAAAAAAAAACAAAAAAAAAAAAAAAAAAAAAAGCGCTTCACGAACCCAAAACCTAAACAACAAAGGTTTTTCTCAAAGCAGCTTAAAACTAGCTATGTAAAAGAAAGAAATATTTTTATTTTGTTGCAAGTATCCAACAAATCACAACGCATTCAAAGTTTAAAGGTAGTATTGGCTTATAGAATTGTCAATAAATGCAAAATCACAAATTACGCGGATGAATATCATTGCTCGGTTATAAAGTGAACGAGTCCCACAGAAACATTTTTCCTTCAATTAACTCTCCCCGTGGGGCTCGAACCTTCGACCTCCCGATCCGAAGCCGGACGCCTTAACCATTAGGACAACAGTACCGGTTTTCATGTTGTATGTTAGATTTGAAAAATGCCTCGTTTTTAATAGGACGTTAGATGCTGCGTGTCCTTCAGGTTAAGATATCTTTGTTTTGAAATATACTGTTTGTTATCGAAATACTCGATATTTATAGTTTATTTATTCAATGTGTCTGGTTATATAAAAGCACTGCGAATAGTCTAGTTTAACAATCAATAAGTGTTAAATGATAAAGGTATTTCTTGATTTTTTATTTGCACGGTTCTGAAAATTTCTTTATTTGAAATTAATTGCTGAAATGACACTTAGATTAAAATGTGTCCCAAATCTATTTACATATTTCACAATAAGCATCAAAGCATTTATTTCAGGTAATATCCAAAAAGTCAGTGGCTTTATTCAGTCATTATTATTCAATACCAATCCTATCAAAAGCAAAGACGAAACAATTATAGTTTGCAAAAGCAAAAATTCCTAAATCTGAATTGCAGAAAATCATTTGCAGGTTGCAATGATGAATCAAAGCATGAACGTGAATGAAAAATTGGCAATAAATAGCTAAAAGGATTTTTTATTTCTTGCAATGATAAATTAAAATGGATGAAGCAAAATGTCAAATATTTTAGAGGTAATTTAATTTGTTAGAAGTGTCATGACTTTGCCTGACTGATTCAAATGACAGTTATTTTAAGCAACATTACAATTCACGAGGAAAACTTGGCGTCGATAAAACAACTTTAGTAATTTCGAGGAAATCATCTAAATACAGTTTAATGATAGATAATAAGACACACTTATGTAAATTGAAATTTCAAAACAAAATGTTGTTGTTCTTTACAGTAATAAAGTACACACATTATAATAATGCAATAAGAGCTTCAAACTGGCAGCCAAATAACGTAATTAGATATTAAAAGACTATTTTCTAAATGTCCATGCCTTCGTGAATTTATTTTAAATATTTACCAAAGGGGTACAAACAAAACCCACTATCAACACTAATACACATCTTAGTCAGCTACTTGTTTTCTTATTATATCTAATTACCTCTATCTCGCAAAAATAGATGATATGGATATATATCAAGTGATGAAAAACATATTTCTTTTAATGAAAGTTAATAGTATTAGTAATATATATTTTCGTTATACAGCGGTTGCATCTCTGAACAGCTTCTAGATAGATAACATTATCTAACATGTACATGTAACATGAATCTCAAATTTAGACCATTTTTGTATACGTAATAGAAAGAGTATCGAAACACGAGGCTTTCTGATTTGCAATTGTACGAGTGGGGGGGGGGGGGGGTGGGGGACGAAACCTCTGAGTATAAATCAGATTGCCGAGTGTTTTGATGCTCTTTCTCATTTGTATCATATGCAAAAAGAAGAAAATCCGTTTTGTCATAATATGAAACCCCAGAAAACAGTAACCAATGAAAGAGCATTTGAATTTGATATTTCTATCGCTATTCCTTTCTCTGTCGTCACAATGAACAATGAGCCAA